TGCCTTGGGCCAGTCTTCATAAAGAAGTGCATTCAAAGGAGTAACTCATACAGAATGCAAACTTGGAGAAGTTTCTGGCAAAGCAGGAAATAGACTTCACCGAATAATAAGCATTCAAATGTCCTAACTTCCTCCCTCACCTGTGTACCGCCCCACTGTGTAGTTCACACACTCCCAACCCAAATCTCTCGTCTGCCCTGTATCCTTCTCAAATTTCAGCTCATTTCCTTCCCTAATTTGTGTCCATCCTTGTGAACAAATATACGGCCTTTGTTTCTCTAGAATTTATCTTTGTATCTAATATCTGAATTGGCACCAAACAGTTCCCTCAGACAATTTTCATTCATTCACAAAACATTTATTAGCTCTTGCTATGTGCCAGGCAGTGTGCTGGGTCCTGAGGATTGAGTATGGAGTGAATAACAAACACTAATTACATAATCACATAGATGCAAAGACAGAGACCCCAGACTCCTTCATGGAGGACACAGGGAATATGACCCAGCTTGAAAAGCAATGTCACACTATTTAAAGATCTAAGGGTGTATAGGATTATTTAGGTGGTTTGGAAGGACCAGGCAGCAGGATCAGTATATACAAAGGCCCTGTGGTGAGAGAAAGCACATTTGAGGAGCAGAGAGGAGGCCAAAGTGGCCAGGACCCTGAGGAGTGAGGGCAGTTTGGTGTGAGGGGAGAAAGCAGAGGTTGGCAGGAGGTAGTTCACTGAGACCTGGTAGAAGGGAGGCAAGGATTTGGGTCTTTTCCCTAGAGAGCAGAAGGAAGCCATCAGAGGACTTCATATTTAAGAATGCATCCTGGTGCCCTCAGCCACATCCCTTTAGCCTTACAGCTACCCATCCTCAGTGGACCTGAAGTTACCAGCACCATGGTCTCTGCTCACAGCCTTCTCCAACAACTAGAGCACAATTATCTGCCTATGAAACAGGTCCAGGTAGGAGAGGATTAGCAGCCCCATGTTCCTAAGGGCTTCCGCCTGGCAGCTCTTGGTGGATAAACACCCAGCTCTTTGCTCCCCAGGTGTGAGAACTTAAGGCATGTGGGGGTTACTGGCTCCCAAGGTCTCTGGGAGGATCCAGCTCCAGGTTCCCTCAGTGTAACCTGCTCAGTAAGCCCTTTACAGGATGCTTTCCCTTCCCTGTCTTCCTTCCAACACTCCTCCCTTCCAGAGTTTCACAGGATAACCCCCAAACAACTCTGTGCACCCACACCCTGTCTCAGGCTTTCAGAAGATCCCAAAGAGATGACCAAAAATAATAGTAACGTGTTTGAGAGCATTGGAGAAGGAACAGGACAGAGCATTTGTCAAGGCAGAAGATGCTCACTGCTTGTACCATCAGGCAGAGAGCAGTGGAGATGAAATCAGAGGGCCAGGGGTGAGGGAGGTGTGCAGGGAGAGGAGACAGCGACTTAAAGGCTGCCTCCCGAGCTGCTGTGCTCCCGGAAGGGAGGGCAAGGGAAAGGCTAAGAATACATATGTTAATATATTTGTGCGTATCACAGAACAGCTTGTAACCACCAGATTTTTTGGAACTCTCCACTATCTTCTCACCCGGCCTTGACTCATCAGACTCTAGAACAACCCAGCTGCCATCATCCCAGGGAAGCCTGCATTTTCTCCTGCAGGGCAGGATTCAATAACAGTGTTCTCATCCAATAAAGGAGGCTGGCGCACAGGGACGAAATATTGAATTAAAAACAATACCAGAGCTGCCAAGCTCGCACCACCCCTGAACTGCCTGTGCGTGCTTTTGCTCTGCAAATTGGTAACGGGAGCCCCAGGGAAATACTGTCTGGGAGAGGGAGGAGGAAGAGAGGGAGGAAGAGGGGGGAGCAGAGTCGACTCTTTGTCACTGTTGGCTGAGCAAGCACCAGGGAGCAGAACAAGGACAGAAACCCAGCCCTCAGCTCTGGGCCTTGGCTTTGGTCCTGGCTCCACAGATCTACCTTCAAGTGGCAGGAGAGCTCAGTGGTTACTCACATAGCGCTGAGGCCAAGCCCTCAAGGGTCTTCAGCCTGTATCTACTGCTGTTGATCGTATGACCTTGGGCAACTCTTTGGAAGCTCTGAACTTGAATTTTTGTTGTTATCTCAAGGGTTAGCACATGTCAACACTATGTTTAGCCCTTACTTAATTCTAATAACCATTCTATTTCCAAGACTCAGAAGAGTTAGGTAACCTGCTTAGGACCACATGCCCCTACAGATGTCCTCAGTTTGTATCTCCTCAAAATTCTGAAACCTAATCCCCACTTTGATGGTATTAAGAGCAGAAGCCTCTGGACAGAGCCCTCCTGAACAGGATTAGCGCTCTCATAAAAGAAGCCCGAGGGAGCTCTGCTCATCCTGCCACAGTATGAGGACAGTAGAGGGACTACTGTGCCACAGGAGGGCCCTTGGAGGACACCAACCTCCTGGCCCCTTGGTCTCAGATTTTCCAGCTCACTTATCTTTTATAGTAGCCTGAATAGAGTATCCATCTGATTAGCCACTATATCCCATTCTCCGTTAGATAAGAAATTCCCCATTTCCAAAGGCTTGGGGGAGGCCCTGCTGCTGAGTTCTCTCTTGGGCTTCCCATAATGTAGCATCTAGTTTTGCACTTGGCTCAGTCCTCTTTCCTCCTTTTCTCTTTCTGAGCTCATCATTTCTTTCCTCCAGTCCTTCACCAGGCCAACTTACAAATTCCTCCTCATGGCTCCTGGCCAGAGCTTCCAACCCCTCACCTTCACTTTCCAACTGTCCTGCAGGACAGCTCTGGTCAAGCACTTGCTAATGTCTATGATCTAAGAGGCTTCACCCGGCCCCTGGAATCCCTATCCACCACCACCAGACAGTTGTCTTCAAAAAAACTTGTATGCATCTCCATTAGTATCAGGTAGATGCCCCAATGGGACCAGAGGGGGACTTGAGGAGTTAGGAGTACATTGGGGTTACTGAGGCTGAGTGTGTGAGTGAGGTCACTCAGTGGGAGAAAGGTGGGAAGGGCAGAGGCTGTACCAGAGATCAGACCTCATCCTCTGCTCTAGATGTGCTCTGAGGTTGGACATGGCAGGAGAGAGTGATTTCTCAAAGCCATCCTGAGGGCAAAAACCCTAAATGGGGAGTACAGGCCAGGCTTGGGACAAACAGAGGCGTGGGAAGGCACTAGTCAGGGTTCTCATCACTGGGACCGAAATTTAACTTGAATAAATTAAGGGATAAAGGAGGTCATATTGTCTCTTGGTATCTAGAAAAGACTCAGTCTTGGGAAATCAGGCCCCTCAACCTGGAGGCTGCCTGGATCACCTCTTATAGATCACAGGATAGAGCACTTTCTATCCTGACTCCTTGACCCACTCTGACTCCTACATAGTGGGAAACATGACTCCTGTAGCTTCCAAATGTGTTATGGTTTAGATTAAGAATACCCCCCAAAACTCTCACTTGCTCACATCCCAGAGCTTTCAGAAAGTGACTGAATCAAGGCTGCTGTTAGGAACCGGGGTCTGGTCAGAAGAGGCAGGTCATTAGACATGGAAGGGTTTATTTCCCTCCTCGACCCCTTGCTTCCTGGTCCCCATGATGTGAACAACTTTTGTCCACCCAGGCCCTCTGCCATACTGTTTATGTGCTTAAGTCTGACAAACACAGATAGACACTTCTGAATTGTGAGTCAAAATTGACCTCTCTCCCTTTAAATCGTGGGTGTCAGGCATTGTATGGCCAACAACTAGAAAGTGACTAAGACAAGATATAAATCTCACAGATGGTGCGTTAGACAGAGACTGGCACTGCCCACAGGCTTTAAACTCCAATGAAGTTTAGCATTAGGCCAGTGGAACTTTAGTCCAATTAGTTTAGCTTTAGTCAGGTGCCCACCCTTGACCCAGTTAACTATGACCAGAGAGATGAAGCCAAGTGAAAACATGCTCAATCCTTTGGGGACAACAGGACTAGAGAAAGACATCATGGTTCCCAGAAGCCAGCTCAGTGTGGAGAGAGGAATAGGCATTATAGAGGGAAAGCAGATCCCGACAAGGGGCGTCTTGGACAGCAGGAGCCAGACAGCCTTGTGTGACCCAACGAGCACTTCTCAGAAGCCAAACCCCACTGTGGAGGAGAGTCAGAAAGTCAAACATGCAAAGGGACAGGGCAAAGACCCAAGCCAAGCCAGAGCTCCACACAGCAAAGGGCTGGCCCATTGTGTGGGGGCTGGATAACTTCTGCCTACTCTATCTTCTTTTGTTAACCCCTGCTTCTTGGTGCTGTCAAGGGCTATAATATGCAAAGCTACTTAGTTTCTTGAGATATGAAAGGACCAGGTAGGCTTGGCCAAGACGGAGGTGCCCTGTGCACATCCACCTGGGCTGACCCATAGGACTGAACGCCAGCCCCACCCTGACAACTGCTGTGTGCTGTGATGTGGGGAGCAGCAGGATCTGACTCCTTCCGTATCACCTTTCTCCTCCTGATCCTGGAATTCAACTCCAAGTCCTCAGAGCAACCAGTGCTGGGGGCTGGACTTTGGCAAGGGGGGACTTCCACAAATCCAGCCCTAAAATGGGAACAAGGTGATTGCAGAGGCTTCCAATGGAGGTAAAAATGCAATAAAGACAGTAACAGTAGGGCCATCAGTATGACACACTGAGCACCACATACCTAAACAGCTTCCTGCCCTACCTGATCATACTATCAAAGCCCTATGATACGTTATTCTTATCTCCAGGCAGTGAATCTCACAGATATGAAGTGGCATACCCAAGTCACACAACTAGAAAGAACTAAAGCTGGGACTTGAACCCAGCTCTGGCTAATCATAAAGCCTATACCCTTGACCTTTGCCATTTTTTATCTCTTTAGCCTGAGCTATGAAAACAACCCTTTGGTTTAGTATCTTCTTTACCTATAGCAGTCAGAATGATTTGGGCTACAAAAATGAAACTACCAAACTATAAAGAGGAAAATGTACCAACTCAAAGATTAGGTTTTGAGATACGTGCCTACAGGTATCATGAAGTCAGTGGCTTGAGGATCTCTTCACCATCTTCTTACTGTGTCATCACAGGATGTTCGTTCTTTTCACTTGGTCACAAGATGGCTGTCAGACCTCCAGACATTTGTGGCCATGCCCTGCAACAGAGGAGGAATTTTTTTTTCCTTTTTGAGAACAAAACAAAACAGGAAAATTGTTTCCAGGAGCTATCAAACAAACATTCTTCATATCTCACTGGGCAGAATTGTTCCCATTCCTGTTTCCAAACTAATTACCCACAAGGGAACTATGACGGCCTGAACAGCTTGGTAAAGCCCAGAGCCATTCAGATTATGCTTCTAAGTCAGGACTTGTTTAGGAAGGAGAAAGGGGCTGTGACTTATTCAGGTAAGCAAACAAAAATGTAGGCAAATACCCCTTTTTTCCATTCTGCAATACCCTTTTTTTCTAATTGTTTCCTTCTTTCTCTGCCAGGTAACATTTTATTCACCCTTCAAGAACCAAGTTAAATGCTACCTATTCTGGGCCATGTTCCTTGACTTCCTTCCATCAAATCTATTGCACTGTCCTCTGTGCTTCCCGGAAACATGGCACATGCTATTTCCTCACCACATAGCTGCAGAGAGAGCTCAAGCTTCAGAGTCACCAGAGCTAGGTTCAAATCCCAGGTCCTCCACTTCCTTCAAGGGAATCTCTGAGTACGCTAGTTCCCCTTCTTCAAGACTTATTTCTTCTTCTAGGAAAGGATACATTATTATTAGTATTACTATGGTACTTGGAATCAAACTCATGACCTCACGCTTGCCAGGTAGGCACTTGCACAGCTGAGTTTTATCTCTGACCCAATGATACATTTTTAAAGGCAGTTTTGAGAATGAAGGTAGCCAATTATCAATAACACCCTCGGAAAGAAGGGAGAGTGGATGGCATGAAGAAAGAAACCTTCAGGCTGGACCAAGCAAAATTCAACTCTCAGCAAGAAGAAAGCTGAAGTCCTTCCAAGGTGCCCCTCCCCCTGGATCTCCCAAGAAAGTCATTTTTCATCCCCAAAGTCATTCGGCTTAGAGAGAGGGGAGAGGCGAGGTGGTGGGGTCTGTATTGTGCCTGCCCTGCCATCATCCATCACCCGGCTGACAGGAACTCACCTCCCACAAATAAAGTTATGACAAGCGTCCCCAACCCATTCTTTCAGCTGTCGCCTCCCTGTTTCCATCATCTCTGACTTTATAAGCCATCAGCCAAGCTGTTTGTCTTGCCTCTGACAGGGCTTGGCTATGGGAGCCTGAGGGTCGTGCAAAGGGATGGCTGGACTCAAGGACAGGTGTTCACCCGATTCACCACCAAAGTCTCAGGCTTGTCCTTGGTGTACTCATAAAACATTGCTTCCCCAGGGGTAGAGGTCCAGAGGTGAGGTGGAATGGGAGGGGAATGTTCTGTTTATTTATTTATTCAGCAAACATTAGTGAATGTCCCTACTGTACCTAGTCTTGTTAGGCACAGCTGCAGCCATCAAGATGAGCCAAGCACATCTTCCCCCTGAGGAGAGCCCAGTGCAGTGTGGGTGTGGAGAACAAGCCACCTCAATACACAGTGGCAGCAAAGTGTGGCCAACGCAGTCTGTCTGTGGACTGTGGGAACACGGAGGAGCACCGGAACACAGGGAAGGCTTCTTGCAGGAGGTGGGATTTAAACTGAGACCTGCAGGACAAGGAGGAAAGATAGCTGTGTGACGGTGAAGTCTTCAAAAATGTTCTTTCTTCCCTAAAGGTTTACCTGTCTACCAGAACCCAGGGACAGAAATGAACAGATGCCAGAGAAGGGAGGGAACCTTGACCAGGCTGATGAAATGGCATGGACATGGGCTCCTTTTTGGTTTCCTGGAGGGACAGTGATAAATTACCACAAACTTCATGTCCTCAATGACAGAAATACCCCCGCAGTTCTAGGGGTCAGAAGTCTAAAATCAAGGGATGATCAGGGTGTGCTTTTCCTGAAGGTTCTGAGGGTCGATCCGTATGCTGCCTCAGAACTGGCTTTTGGTAGCTGTGGGCAGCGTGGCCTTCCTCGGCTTGCAGATAGGTCTTCCAATCACTACCCTGCTCTCCTGTCACTCAGCCTTCTCTGGGTGTCTCTGTGCACCTCCCCCTTGCCTGTTTCTGATAAGAACACTCTCCTTGGTTTTACAGCATACTCCGAATCCAGATGATCTCACCTCAAGATTCTTGACTTGCAGGATACTGGCATCGGGATGTTCACACATATGAGCATGGGATAGGTGGGTGGGGGTGCTCGTATTCCATCAACTGAAGATGAAGAGGTAAGAGAATATGGCACATTCTGGGAACAGAGAATGACTAGGTAAGGCTGGAACTCTGAGACAGGGTCATCTTTAGAACCCACCTCTGCCACTTAAAGAGTCAGAGAGGGCCAGGGACTTAGCTCAGTGGCATAGCACCTGCCTGGCAAGCATATAGTCCTGAGTTCGATTCCTAGCAAAAAAAAAAAAAAAAAAAAAAAAAAAAAAGAGCCAGGAACCCACTGAGTCTCTTGCTGCCTCAAAGTCTTTGCTTGCTCACCTGTAGTGTGAACCAGCCCTCTGGGCTCCTTGCACTCTGTTGGGAGGGAATGTAATCCTTGTACCTAATCCAGTTCCTCAGTGGGAGTGTGGGCATCAAGAAGATAGCAACCAACCCAAATCAGCCAAAGCAAAAGGAGAATTAATTAGGTTATGTTTGGAGAAAGCCCCGGAATAGAACTGCTTCAGGCTTAAACGACGTGTTTGGGAGTCGGTTTCTCCCCATCTAGCCTCTTTGTTTGGTGCAACCCTGGCTTCATCTTCAGGTTCCTGAGGGTGGACCCGGTGCTAAGCACCTTCCATGGCCCTGCCTCTCTGCTCCTTGCCTCTGTCACCCTGCTCTCTGCTTTACAGCCTGGGCTGCCCGGAGGCATCAGTGGGCCCCCCTGGGCCTCTGGCTGCCAGGGGGTTGAGCCAGTGGGAAGCGATGGCAGGCCACACAGGCAGAGAGAAGAGTAGAGGGGGAGTTTTTCTCCCTTCCAGGTTCTTTCCTCTTTCTCAGCCACAGCTTCTCTCTCTGGGTAATGGAAATTACTTCTATTCAGACCTTTGTCTTTTGGACCTGGTTGTAGTAAAGGCTCCCCACGATCACCAGCCCAGAGGAATTGCACCACCCTTTGTTGATTCCCTAAATTTTACTGATACCTTTGTAACTAGCCCCTTTATTATAATCTCCTGAAATTACCAATTTGAGAGAATCTGGTTCCTCCAAGGAGTTTGCCTGGCAACTTGGGCTCTGCTTGCCTCGCCACACCTGTTGGTAAAATGGCACCTACGTGGTAGACAATTACACTGGTGGCCCTCCACGTCTCCCAGGATTCATGCAAGTCCCCTTCTACCCTAGGCATTGGGCTCCCTCAAGCAACTTGCTTTGCCCACTGGGACAGCGGCCTGTGTGGGAAGAGAGCCTTGATCAGAGCTTGTTCATTTGTGCTATGCTTTAGATGTTCCCTCTGGGAACCCTGCTCTTCACTGAGGAATCTGGGCCTTTGTGCGGAAGAAAAGGTTCTCCTGCAGGGGACCTGGAAGAGGAGATGCCATGTGGAAAGAACAGTTGGACTACCCCAGCTAACAGTCATCACAAAGCTCCAGGCCCCATGATGAAGTTGTCTGCCTCACTGGGCGGGGTATTTTCCCACTCACATAGTCTAGAATTGCCAGCTCCCAATCATGATAAAAAGCAAGAGGACTTGCAGGCAGTGCTACTGACATGTTTAGCTTTCTGAAAAATGTGCATCTCCTTCTGCCTGTAATTGTGGCAGACCATGCCCACCAAACCCCACCCCACACCCTACACACACACGAACTTTTGTTTCTCGGTCTGTGGATCCAGCCCAGCCATAAGTGAATGCAACCATGGGAATGACTCCAGTCAATAGGACACAGAGAAAAAGCCCTGCTCCGTCAGCCTGCACAGTTACGAGAAACCAAAAATTATCATTGTTTTAAGCCACTAGGTTTGGGTGGTTTATTACTCAGCACTCAACATACCTGAGCTTTATTTCTAATTGTTCAAGTGCCAGATTCATGTACACCTAGGAAGAGGGAGACCCTTCTGGTAGCTCCTACAAATGCCCTGGAGTTCACTCTGACTGGTTCCGCTCAGGTCATGTGCCAGCTGTGAACCAATTGCAGGACCAGGAAAGACTCAACCACTGATTGGCTTAATTTGGATCACATGGGCTTAATTTGTCCTAGAGCAGGAAATAGGCTCTTACTGGGACCATTAGACCTGAAATTGGATAGTTTCCCAGAGAAATAAGGGAGCTAGATACTAAGGACAGATTTGGGGGGTAAAACTCGGGAAATTACCCTTAATGTATTCAATTACTATTTAAAAAAATGGACAAAAGTGAACCTCTAGAACAAAAGAAACTATGAGATGATGAAGAGACCATGACACTTTGGTGGTAGACATTGTTGGTTTGAATTCTGGCTCTAACTCAAATTTACCCTTTGAAAGCTGGTTACCTCTGTGTACTCACCTATAAACTGGACCTGTTAATGCCTACACCAGGGTTAATGCCTATGCCAGGGTAAGTCCAATCATGACTGTCATGGTAGATAAAGAGAGAGGCTTTCCAGACTCCCTCAAGGAGGGCCTAGCTGCCAGGTCTGGACAGTGTGGCAGCAGATACCCTCCAGCTGTCCAACCTTTCAAATCTGCCTCAGCTTCAAAGACTACCTACTCTTCCCCGGGCAACCTGCACCTAAGGACTGAACAAACAAGGATTTACAGGCCTGGCTGTCTCAGCCCAGTGCAGAGCAGCTTGCCAGCTCCTGCCAGGCACTGAGGCTTTGTAGGGTCTGAACTGTATGGATGTCTTCCTGTCTAACCCTTTCACAGGGCGGATCCCTAGTAAATATCTAGCATTCCAAACTCTCTTTATGAGTCCCCATTTGGTGATAGAAGACAGATTCTTCACCTAGCTTTAGCACCTAGGGGGCAACTGGTAAGTTTGCTGCATGAAAATTGGCAGGCATTAGGCACTACGGTCCTGAAATATGGTCCGAAGGGTGGCAGGAGATGTCTCAAAGACATTCGTTTTCCCTCCGTGCACCTGCAGACCCTGCTCGCCAAGCAACAGAGCTGGTCCTTAAAGCCTCAGGCTTTCAGAACCATTGAATCAGAATCCATGAGTGGAAAGAGACCTCTACAGCCACCTCTTATCATGTGTTCAAGGGTCTTATTCAGAGTGACCCTCCCTTGAAGCCTGGCCTGAAGCAGGTGTCCTCCCCTACACACACACACACACACACACACACACACACGCACACATTTCCTCTCTATTCCTTCTCTGTGCCTTTTTTAAAACACTTGACACCTCTGAAAGCATCATGTTTATTTATGTGCACACCTCTTTATTGTCTGCCTTTTACATTTATGTGTAAACAGTCCTTGACACATAGTAAGTGCTTGGAAAGTATTTGTGAAGGGAAGGAAGGAAAGAAAGAAAGAATGGGAGGGAGGGAGGAAGGGACTTTGTCTTGGCTACTTTTCTCTTGTTGCTGAAATAAAATACCAGACACCCAAAGTTGAAGAGGAAAAAGTTTAGCTCACAGTCTGTAGAGGTTTCAGTCTATAATCAGCTGGCTCCAAGGCACCATGGCACATGTCAGTCGGGCAACAACTTATGGCAGAGGAAGACAGCAAAAGCAAGCGAGCAGGGGAGGGGAGGGGAGACAAGCCTTTTTCTATCCCTTTTGTTGTATCCTGTCTACTGGGATCAGGGTGGTGCTAAACCAATCAGTAGACTGATCCAGAAGTCACTCACCCTCAATCCCAGGATCCTTAATTCCAGCATTGCACTATGAATCAGTCACACATTCTTTATTCTGCCACTTGCAAAGGAAAACCCCTATGACCACATGAAACTCTGGAGGGACGTCTAGACACAAACCATAACAGCCATGGAACTCAGGCAGGAGAATGTCTGGGACTGTATACAGTTAGCAGTATGGATGCCCTCATGCTACCTCCCCCACGCCACACTGGACCTGAGCTGTGGCCAGGGGTACATGTCCCATGCCCACCAACAGTGTCCTACCTCACAAGCCCACCCTGGTTGTCCCACCCCAAAACTATATTGAAAGCACTGTTGCCTAGCTTGGCAGATAGGCGCAGAGATTTAGTGCCTCCACTTGGGGTGACAGAAGTTGGCGAGTTGATGCCTCACCTTCCAATTCTTTGGGGGGGGGGACTTTTCTTATGTTCATTTTGCACTCAGAGGCTTCCTTGAGATTGAGCCCCAACTGCTCACAGCAGTGACCAGCTTCTTCTCTGTCTCGCTCACTCAGTTGTCACACCCCTACTGTAAGCAAATACATCCCTTGTACCCCTCCCTCTTTTGGGCCCTGCATTTTCGGGGTACCCACTCAAGGCAGGCCAGATCAATCCACTGCCTTTCAGTAGTTCTCTTTCATTCATTCTCCTCTTAAAGCTCAACCCACTGGCCCTGCTGTTCCAATTGACTTCTAGAGAGATGCCCTCCACCCCGCTACCTTCTCACCTCATCTGGCAGACAAGCTGACAGGCCTTGATTTTCTCCCAACTCAGCCCTAGTTCCAAGAAATTTTAATGAAGGGACTTGGCTGGGCACAGGAGGGCCCAGGTGCTTTGGAGGCAGGAAGGCAGGGAAGGGGTGTCTCTGAATGAGTCCACAAAGATTAAATCATCTCCTGTCTCCTGTGCTCCTCCAACCCTTTTGTTCTGGGGCTCACATGTCAAGTCCAACCCATTATCTGCCCTTTCTCTTTTGCCTGTGCCATCCTGTGGCCATCTCAGCAGAAGCACTGAGCCGCTCCAAACAAAAGAGCCCAATGTGGGTGCTGAACTTTCCAGTATACAAGGAGCTACGAAGCCTTTACCTGTGGGCAAATCATCAGTATTATTACTATTGGTGTCTAAATGCAAAAGCTCGCTCACCTTGAGGAGATATTATTTCCCCTTATGCCTCCTTTCTTTTGCTAAGCAACAGTAGAACCTAGTTAGAAAAGTCATGTGATCAGAAACAAAATTCTGCCATTTGCCCATTCACTCACTCACCATCAGGCCACTTCTCTGTGTGCAAGCCCCTGAGGGTCCACAGTGGTATCCTCCCCACCAGGAGCTCACATTCTAAAGGAAGTACAGTGGTCAGGGTCTAATCCGGAAACACGTGAGTACTTACAAGGAGGAATTTTAATCTGGGGGAAAGAAGAGCTAAGAAGCCACCTGGAGTCAGTGAAGCAACCCAGAAGCTGGTGACAGCGTGAGATTGCCTCCTTCCCAAGGCAGGAGGGACAGAATGAGACGGTCATGCCACTAGCCTGGGAGAGGATCACCTGGTAAGGACACGGGACCCTGAAAGAACTACAGGGGAGCTAGAGACATGCAGAGGTCACAGCCATTACTGCAGATCTGCCCAAAGCCTGGAGAAGAAACGCCTGGGCCTCATCCTTCCTCTGCCTTGCAGTCTCCCAGTGGCCAAACTCAGCCCTCCTGCAGTACAAAGCAGACTGGCAGAAAAGTAAGGCCTGAGAAAGGGTAAGCAGGCAATACTGTGTGAGAAGTCTCAAGAGTAATAGAAACACAGTGCTGCAGAACACAGGGAAGCACTTGTAACTTTGTCAGAAGTCAGAAAATAGGAGGTGAATTGGAACCAGGCTCTAAAGGATGAATAGGAGTTTGCTAAATATTGAGATAGAGTTAAGTCCAAGTAACTGAGATAGCACACAACAGTCTCCCTTTATCCTACAGGGGATATATTTTAAGACATTCAGCAGATGCCTGAAACCACAGATTGTACTGAACTTGGTATGTAATATACTAATTTTTCATATATATATATTCCTATGATAATATTTAACTTTCTGTTATTATTAAGTAATAATAAAATAGAAAATTATAAAAGAACAATAATAAAATTGCCAGTATCACTACTTTTGTACTTTGGTGTCATTATAAAGTAAAATAAGAGTTGATTGAATGCAAGCATACAATACAACACAAGCCACAGTCCATCTGATAACAAGAAGGGGGGTAAGTGACTAGTGGGCAGGTAGCATATACAGCATAGATACACTAGACAAAGGGATGAGTCATGCCCAGGTGGAACCATGCACAAAATGGCATCACCCTACTCAGAATGCTGCATATTTAAGATGTATGAGTTGCTTATTCCTAGACATTTTCATTTAATACTTTCTGGCAGTAATACTTATGTGATAGGTCCCACGTAAATGAAACTGAGGACAGTGAACCCACAGATAAGACTATGATATTAAAAAGTATGTTAGTGGAGAATGTTTTAGCACCTGCCACCAGCCCTGTACTCTGGCCCGTCTTAGGACACTTGTCCTCTCTGGTCCAAATTCTTCTTGTTCCGCATGTTGCCCTTCTAATCATTTACCTGACCAGCGGAGCTGGAAGACACCATTCTGATACTCCCTGGCTGGCTTGATACTTGGTGATGTGCCAGCAACTTGCCTTCCTGCTACATCTTCCCTGGTACTCTTGGCAGAGAGCGGCATGCCCTGCACCTCTGCTGCTCTGTGGGCTAGCTCCAGCTTGGGCACTGGGGCAGGCCGATGAGTACAAGCTAGATGGATGAATGGATGGATGAATAGCTGGATGGATGGATGCATGAACTAACATAAACACATTCATGCTTTTCCTCATGCCTGGACTGCTCCCCACCCCTGTCACTTATAGTAGCCCTTTCCATTTGTGAACCAGCTGCTGTGGTTAGTTGCCTAAGTGATCTCACTGAATCTTCCTAGAAATTCAGTAGAGGACCACCTTTATCTTTCCAATGTCACAGAGGAGGAAGCTGAGACTCAAAAAAGTTAAGTACCTTGCCCAGGATGTCCAGCTACTATGAGACAAATCTGGGATTGAGGTTGGTCCCATCTAGATGTGTGGATTTGAGGAGGTCCTTTTGAAGTCTAAGCACAGCTGCTCCAAGTCTAGGTCCTCAGAGTCTGCTGGAGTCTTCCGGTAGGGACTCTTCCACAAAATGCCACAATCAGCTTTAACAGAAGAAATAGCACTAACTGAGGGCTTATCAGATACGCGGCTCAACACTTAGCATTCTATACCTAGCAGCTCTGAGCCCTCTTTACACTGAAACTCTGAGTCCTCATAGCACCCCACAAGGTGGAGATTCTTATACATATGGCCAGGGAAGCTCCGGAATCAGTCAGTAAGTCAACAAATACATGGTGAGCAGGTCCTTGGGACTGGTCATCACTAGATGCTAGAGACACAGGGATGATCAGGACAGCCATGGTGGGGTTGTCCCCTTGGAGTTGGCAGGCCGTTGGGAAGAAGAACCCTTAAAAGACAAATAAGTAATTTAATTATTTGGCAGCTACGGTAGTCAAGGTCCTGTGACCAAGCCCATCCTGGATGTATTGGGAGATACTGAATAGGACAACCTGACCTCATCTGAGGGACCAAGGACAGCTTCCTGGAGGACATGACTGTTAGTATCAGTTGTGAGCAGGCATTCTTTAGATGCTGTGCCACAAACTGTCACCTCTGCAGGACCTGGAATCAAGTCTTGGGCTACCAGGTTGGGCCAGTACCCCAGTATTCCCAAGGCAATACTCCTGGCTAGGCCTGTGCATCTGGGCCAGTACTGGGCCCACTGATCCCTCTGTGGCCACTTTGATGACAGAGCTGTACCGTGGCCAAAGCACCTGGGACACACCCCAGCATAAGCCAGCTTTTTCCTGAACTGCCTGCCTGGCCATGAGTATGTCCTCTAGCCTGCTGGCCTCCTGGAGCCTTGGCAGAGAGTCAGGAGGAGGTGGCTCTGAAACGGGACAAAGAGAATTCAATTTCCATTTCACTCTTAGTTCCCTGTTTCCAGTCCAGATGCCTCCAGATCTAATTCTGAATAAATAATTGTACTGAGTAACCCGGGTCCCTTGGTGATTAAGTAAACACGCCGAGGCGGGTGGAAATTGAATTAGTGTGGTGTGCTCAGCCATTATTACCCACCCCTCCTCATGAATATTAATGAGGGGTTATTAAGAAATGTAAATGATGCCTCAGGGGATGGGGAGATGAGGAGGGGGTCAGGGAGAGAGGACAGGCCATTCAGAAAGCTGTATGATTGAAGGCATTTTTAAAATTATGTCAGATCTTTCTCTTCCGTGCCATGGCAATGTTTCCGGACGCTTCACTTTTATTAAAATGAGGGTAAGAGAACAAATTTTAATTTGAGGATAAAATTAGCATTTTCCAAGCAGCCTTGGCAGCAGCAAGGACATATTTTGCCAGAAAATGGACATTCGGGGCGGGGTGGTGCGAGGTTGGGGGAGCTGCATCTGATGGACGATTAGTTCTCTCAGTTCATCTCCAGGCAAGGGAGTAAACAAATTAATCTTGGAGCGGGAGCAGCCTGGAAGATGATGGAAGCCTTGAGGATCAGCAGTATCTTTGCTGGGAAGCTAGGAGGTGTCACAGAGGCCCAGAGCGGCCTTATTGCTGGCTCTGAGAGGTCAGGCTCTGATCTGCGGTCACACAGTGAGGAGGGGCACTTCTGCTGGGTTTTGTGGACAAGTTGAAAAGTTGGGAACAGGGCTGCTTCTCCAAGACAAGCTTCGGAGAGGAATGCAACCTCAGTTTCCCCACCTCCTTCTTGGCCTCCAGGACCCCCCTCACCCCCCACTATCTCATCTCTCTGGTTACAGCTTCTGTTCTTATCTCGCCTTCTCAAACTCTGGTACCAGGTTCATTTGCCCCACTTTACTGAGCATTGTTTCTGCTCCACAACCTTCAGTGACTCACTGTCACTCTTGGACTGAAGCTTAGATTTCTCCCTGTGATATTCTAATCTCTCCAGAATCTTACTGCCATTCAATTTGCCAGTCCAAGTGCTCACTGCTCTTTGCAGCTGCAATCAGATGCATCTAAGAAGGTAGGAAGGTGAGAAGAAGGAGAATAACATAAGATGGAAAAACAAGAAAGAAGGAAGAGAGAGGTAGAAGAGAAAACAAATGTCAAGCACCAAAATATTCCGAATTTGCTAACTCTTTGTATGACAACAATGAAAGTGATAGCTGCTCTCACTATTGAGTGTGCCACTGGCTCGACACTACTGCAGCTGGTGGTGCTCCTGAAGGAGCACAGAGATCCCCACATTACAGAGGGACAACTGAGGCTCCCAGGTCGGATGGTTTGCTCCAGGTCACACGTGTCATAAGAGACAAAACCAGCCTACTGGACATCGAAGCCTGAATTTCGAACTGCAGCACCTCCCACCAGCAGTAATCAGTGTCCCCTCTTTGCAGGTGAAGATGAGGAGGTGCAGGTGGATAGTGATACACCTGCAGATACTGGGAAAAAATAGGCAGAAACCAGCGGCATCGAAGTTCTGAGAACCGGCCTTGCTCCATCTCCATCAACACGAGGGTGCCAGGCACACAGGCTGTCAGAGACCTGGTCACACTGTGCTCCGGATGGTGTCCCCCAGAGGAAGCCTGCAGGTTGACTCCAAGGTTTCCATAGAGATCCTTGTCTAGGCCATGAGTCTCAGACCTGCCCAGAGAAGCTCGGCGGTGAGGATCTGCTGCCCTGTATGCTCTGGACAGGAAAGAGTGAATATGATCAAACTCATGCATTTTAACAACTTCTTCAGCACGCCGCGCTCCACCCGCTCCAGGAATAAAGGCTGACAGGTGCAGCTGAGTTAATCAGAGTGGATAATAGAGGAAAAGACAGGAATCACTGGCCAAATTGCAGCAGAGAAAAATGGGGCGAAATCATGAGATGCAAGTCAAAAATGTCCAATTAAAGTGTGACGGTGCTTAAAGGGCAAGCGCTACATTCTCAGTCCTGGGAAGTTCCACTGTGACACCGCGGGGCATGAGTGGATCATGGACCAGTAGCGTAGGTGATTATTTTTAGTGCCATACAGATGAACTTTTAAAAATTTTGAACTGCTATTTTTAATGTGCATTAGAAAAGATATAATTAGCATATAAAACTGTTATTTGATGGACATTCCTGCTGAGAGTGAATTTAAATTTTAACTAAAGAAGGTATTTAATTGCTAGTCTATTAAAAAAAAACTTTTAATTTTATGGCTGAATGATGAACATGACTCTTCTATGACCAAAGCTTAGGAAACATATTTGAATTCCTTGTTACTGGTCCATCAGTTAGCAGCTCCAGCCATCCCAAAAAGCTTGTGAGAAACACAGAATCGTGGGGTCTTCCCAAGACCTACTGAATCAGCACTTGTATTTTAACAAGATTCCTGGTGATTTACATACATGTTTCTATGTACACATTAAAAAACTAACAATCTACCTTGATTGTCAGCAAGATAGTAAGGATCCTTTCAGACTTGGTTCTAAGGAAGGAGCACTGGAATTGTTCCAACCACAACACTCTTTGTCTCTGAAGAATTTACAATTGCATAAGCACAGAAAAAAGAACCAAAGTCCAGAGAATACAAGTTCAAAGTTGCACTGTATGCTGTGTTAACACTGATTCTGTTTTAGTCTAGGTCTCCCAACATCTTGGCTGATGCAGGAAAGAATTACAATCAAATTGCTGTCAATAATGTGTGTGGCTTTAAGAAAAATGATGGTTAAAGATGTTGCAAGGAAAGAAAATTACAGCCCACTTTCTTTTGGGAACGCAGATGAAAAATCCTCAACAAAATCCTAGCAAAGCAAATTTAGTAACATATAAACAGGATTACACATATGGCCAACTGGGATTCACAGCAGGAATGCAAGGTTGGTTCAATATATGAAAATCAACTAACGTAACATACTGTATCAACAGAATAAAGGACAAAAACTACATGATCCTTTCCATAGATGCAGGAAAAACACTTGACAAAATTCAAAACTTTTTCATGGTTAAAAGCAATAACAAAAGAATTGCAAGGAACTTCCTCAGTCTGATAAAAGTCATTTACAAAAATTCACTCCTAATGTACTAAGTGTGATTAAGCATATTTTCCTCCTAAAATCAGGAACAAGACAAGGCTATCCATCATCACTTTTATTCAAGGTTACTTTTTTTTTTTTTTTTTTTTTGTCTTTTTCCTTTTTATCGGTACCGGGGATTGAGCTCACGACTGCCTGCTTGCAAGTCAGGCACTTATGCCACTGAGCTAAACCTCCAGCCCCTCAAGGTTATTTTAGATATCTTAGTCACAGTAATTATGCAAGAAAAAAAGCAAAAGATACATAGATTGGAAAAGAAGAAGTAAAACTACCTTTGTTTGCAGACTACATAAATTTGCATGCATAAAATCCTTAGAAATCTTTAAAAACAATTAGAATTAATAATTGTTCAGAAAGGTTGCAGGATACAAGATCAGTATACAAAATTCAACTACATATCTGAACAACACAATAAAAAATGAACAGTACAAAGAAATGAATAGTCAGGCATGGTGGTGCACACCTGTAGTTTCAGCATTTGGGAAGCTGAGGCAGGAAGAATGCTACAAATTTGCAGTCAATCTGGGTCACGTAGTGAGGTCAAAGCCACCTTAACCACATTGCAAGAGTCTATTGAAAGAAAGAGAGAGAGGAGAAAGAAGAAGACAACAATACTAAATTTAAGGAAACAATTCTAATACTATTTGTAATAACATCAAAAAGAATAAAATTCTTAGGAATAAATTTAATAAAAGTGCAAAAAAAAAAAAAAAAAAAAAAAAAAACCCAGAGTGGAGGGTCTAGGTTTTAGCTTAGCGGCTAAGTGCCTGCCTGGCAAGCATGAGGTCATGAGTTTGATCCCTGATACCAACAAAAAAAAAAAAAAAAAAAAAAAAAAAGAAAGAAAGAAAGAAAGAAAAAAAGTGCAGAACATCAGAAAATGAAAAAATAGCATTGAAAGAAATTTTTTGAAAACCTAAATGTGATCAAGTGTGATTATATCAGTGTGACTTGAGTAAGAACTACCTAGCAGATTAGTAAATTCCAGCGTGTTTATGAATGATGACCTACTGAGCAAGGAAGTCTCACCCTGGATGGGAGTGACTGCAACAAATAGATGTGTATTTTGTACAGAATAAAGGGAAGCAGGGAGTGCTTTTCTTTTGGAGGAGGAGCTGTAGTCTTTGCTATAGCCTTTGGGTGCTGATTTCCGTTTCTTTACCCTTCCAGGATAGATACTTCAGCTTTCTGACACAACTTGTGCTGATGACTTGATGGTGAGCTTCAAGGACTTAACTTTTGGCTCCTACAGGATCTTTCAGCTCCAGCAATGCTGACAGCCACCTCTGATCCTGCAGGCAATCACTGAGACTCTTCTGCTTCTGAGACTCTAAACCTGCCTAGTAAGTCCCTTGTATAATTATATATGCGAATAATATTGATTCCGCTCTTCTATAGTACTCTAACTTAAACGGTAAGCAAATAGAAAAGTTATCCCATGTTCATGAATCAAAAGACGATATTTTTGTGATGGCAATACTCTCCAAACTGATCTACAGATTAAATGCAATTCCTGTGGAAATTCTAGCTGGGTTTTTTTTTTTTTTTTTTTTTTTTTTTACAGAAATGACAGGCCATTTCTAAAATCATACAAAATTACAAAGTATTCCAAAAATCCAAAACAATCTTGAAAAGAGCATTTTCTGATTTCAAAACTTACTACAAATCAACAGTAATAAAGAAAGTGTGGAATTTGATTGATATATAGATCAGTGTAACAGAATCGAGAGTCTAGAAATAAGCCCTTATATTTTTTGTCAATTGAATTTCAGTAAAAACATCAATTGAAGAAAAAATTTGTCACTTCCACAACTAGTGCTAGAACAACCATTTGAAAGAGTGAAATCTGAACCCTCTCTCACAGCATGCACAAAAATTAACTTTAAACGAGTTACAGTCTTAACTGTAAAGCTAAAATAAGAAATCACAGACACAAATATCTATCAATTTAGGTGAGGCAATAGTCTCATAGATACAACAGAAGTAGAAGCAACAACAGCAAAATAAGTAGACACAGGTTTGATCCAATAATATAGTGAATGTCTACATTTTTTAAAAAATCTATTACAATGAAAGACACACTGCTATAGTCCCTCACAAAACACTCCATCTCCCTTCAGACACACTTCTCCTGCTGTTCTTACCGTTCTCTAAAGCAGCTCTGGAAGTCCTCTTCTGCGAGATTCCTTAGTTCACGGCTGCCTCTGTGTCATAAATTCACTCAAAATGTTTACCATGCATGATAATTTTGACTCTAGGACACAGTCGAAAGTCACATGGCACCAGATCCGGTGAGTAAGGTAGATGAAGATCGACCTTCAATCAAATATTTTTATTTGACAGAAACTGCTATAAACATTTTGAATTGATGCAGGACACTGAGGCAGTCATGACAAACCAACTGAAGATACAAAGCACAGTTGCTTTCGGAAGTGGCAAGAAGGATGGATAAGTACATTCAAAGCAAGGGGAGCACTTTGAGGAGGATAAATGGCAAGATGAGAAGGGGAGTATTATCTGCAGACAACATTCAGCTTGGCATGAAGATCAATGTTCCTCTTTATTTTAAAAGATATTTTATTTTGGCCCAAATACATATTTACTTAGACACATCAAGAAACATAGATGAGTGAGCAAAAAGAAAGAACAAATAATCACTCAACATTTTGTTGCATGTCATCAGTGTTTCTAGATGCCCTTTCCTGAGAAGGTTAAAATCAGGTCTGTCGTTTTTGTTGTTACATTCTCAGAAACTGGGGCAAGGTAGACAATCACAGAACGCTTGTTGAATGAATACATAATATACACACACTATAGACATTTTTAATTTATAAAAATGACATCCCACAGTACACACTGCTTTATAACCTGCTCCCCCCACCATTAGTAATGTATTATAAGCTTCTTTTCAGTTCAATAAATACACATTTACATCAGAAATGTAATAGATACTGCCAGACTGCAAATAGAATTCAGGGGATCTGTGAACTCGAATGGGAAAATAATTATAATCTTATTTTCACTAACCTCTAACTGAAATTTCTCATTTCCTTTGATTTGAATGTAGACAACAAGCTACAGTAGTGTTAGCTGTGTTTGTGACTTCTCTATCTTAGTAAGCCTACATATTTTCATGTCAAATTATCAGTTGCTGATTTCTTGAAATACTGTGCATGTTCATCACTGTTTTGAAATTACACAAGTTCTTATACTTGCTGATAGATCTTGCTAGTGAATATTCAAATAAAGGAGCATATATATGACAATAATAGACATTTTAAAAATTGTGTGTATGTTTCCTTGGGACAGGACCCAGGACCTCATTATATACACTGAGCATGTGCTCCACCACTGAGCTACATGCCCGGGCCTTAGAATACTTTGATAACTATACTTGAAGATAATTGGTTATGATGGAAATCTTAAGCATACTATTCTATGTACTTAAAAATCATCACTCCAAGAAAAGGCCCATGAGTCTCATCCAGAAGGTTTATAGCCCAGCAATGTTAACAAATACTGGATATGGTGGCACACACCTGTAATCCCAGCATCTGGGAGGCTCAAACAGGAGATTGCAAGTTTGAGGCCAGCCTGGTCAATTTAGCAAGTTAGTGAGGCCCTGTGTCAAAATAAAAATTTAAATAAGCTGGGGTTGTAGCTCAGTGCCTAGATCTTAGGTTCAATCCTTACTCACACACACACACACACACAATCCCTAGGCTTTATCACCTCATTTTTTAACTTTTTATTTTAAACTTATTTCAAACTTACAGGAAAGCTGCCAAAAACAAGACAGTTCCCAAGATTTCTTCATCCAGCTTCCTGCAATATCAATATTATGTAGCCATAAGATAATTACTAAAATTGGGCAATTTACATTGGTACAACACTAGTAAAAAGTTCTCAGGTCTCAGTCAAATTTCATGTTTTCCTGCTAGTGTCCTTTTGTATCCCACGGGCCAATTCAGAACCCTACCTGGCATCTAATTGTCATGTGTCCTTGATCTCTTCCAATCTGTGATAATTATATGGGATTTCCTTGCCTTTCATGGCCTTGACACTTTTGAAAAGCACTGATCGTTTAATTTGAGTTTGTCTAGTATTTTCTCGCCATTAGATTAAGGTTATGCATGTTACATAAGAATAGCAGAAGAGTGATATTTTGCCAAGTGAGGGTGTCACAACAGGGGTACGTGATGTTAATATGCTTCATTCCACTGTGTGATGGCTACAGTGCAACTATTATACATACACATAATAGGATGTAAACTAACTGGTTTAGTCAGTCCCCTTCTAATGGACTTGTAGCTCATTTTCAATTTTGGACTGTTACAAACAGCACAATGAACAAAGAAGTGCTGTACTGTGCGATGGGTGGGAGGGCGTCCTGGGGACACAAGCAGCTGCCAGGAGTGGGGATGAGTGTGCTGTTCCTGGAGGCATGCAACAGCAGAAAGCACCAGATGCTGCTCTCATTTCCCTGCTAGATTGCATCTGCGGACTTGGGACTCTAACAAAATGCATAGAAGCAGTAATAAAAGATGCTCCCCGCTCTGGATCTCCAGTTCGCAAGGCCTGGAGGCTCAGATCAGGTGGAGGAGAAAACTGCTGCCTGGAACGGGCTCTGGTTAGTATTCTGAGCTCCCTGCTCTGCTGATGGCTAATTGCCCCTAAGAGCTGAGCTCGTTGGAGGGGAAAATGCGAGGCAGCCTAACCTTTGCTGGGCTCAGCACACCAGCCAGCTTCCCAGATGAAAGGGCCATGCTGCCACTCGTGGCCACGACCCCTTCTGCTTGCTGTGACTGCTAATGGAGCTCAGACTCCCAGTGCCCAGCTGAGGAGAGACCACAGTGACTTATCCAATCTAGCAAGGTGAGGGGCCACGGGGGAGCTAGTGCTAGACTCTCTGGCCGCTGGGTCCCTAAAATGCATGAGGTATCAGCCTTCTGAAAAGCAGTAATATCTAAGGAAGCTAATCATATGCCCGCTCAGTGACCCAGCCTCTCCAGTCAGGGGAACTAAGTGTCTATGTCTTAAAAAGCATGCTTTCAGAAGCTGTATTTGTAATCATTGAAACTCAGAAACAACTCAAACACCCATCCGCAGAGTGGATATAAACAGATTGTGAGGTACCTGGGCAATGGAACACTGGGTGGCAATGGAGATTGGAACAAGCTACTGCTGCTGGCATAAACACGGTGATCCCCAGATACTGTGTTGAGCAAGAGAAATCAGGCACGAGAGGTCATACTGAAATAATTCCTTTATGCAATATTCAGAACCAGGTAGTTGTCAAGTATGGTGCTTGAAATGAAAGCAATGGCTATTCTTGGGAAGGGAATGGTATTGACGGGGAAGGTCCATTAAAAGGGGGCTTCAAACCAGATGGAAATGAGCTCCTACTTGCTGTAGGGGGGGATTCTCTGAGTACAGGCCCCAGTAAACGTTCATCAAGCTATACAATTAAAATGTGATATTACACTCTAACTGAGCAACAACAGCAAACAGACAGTCTCAGGAGTTGGGAAAGGGACCAGGGAGGAAGGATAGATCCCAGCTCGGACAGCATGGCTGTGTGACCGGAGCTACCCAATGAGCTCTCTAAGTACTCCAGTCAGAGAGGGCTGCCGGCACCTGCCTCC